AAAAGGGTTTCGACGTCTTGTCCTTGAGCGTCGCCTAGGTAGTTTGGATCGATCAATGGTCTATCGATGGGATCTTTAGATCGGAGCCGTAGTGTTCCTTTGGATATCGGGTTCAATAAGCATACGAAAACTCTGATGTCGTGCACTACGTCCAGATCTTGCGAAAGACTGTAACGTTACATTATGGCTTAATATAAGTGGGAACGATAGAAAATTTGATATTTTTACTTGCTATTCAAGGTAGGCGCAGTCACAACGGTGTAGATTTCGATCTCTGGGCGAGAGGAAGTCGTCTCATCTGGATTTATGAAAGCCACGATATCAGAGAGCGCCGTTAAGGGTCGTTGGTCGTCAAGGTAGAGTTGTAGTTGCTCCCTCAACGATATGTTGAAAAATGTGTGGTTGGTTCTATATTGAAAATATCAAAAACGTCAACACCATGAATCTGGTTGATATTAGGTTATATGTTACCTGAATTTTAAAGTGAGATATGTAACCTGGTCTTGGAAAGTATTGCCTACTGGTAAATCTTCGACCACTTCAATGCCCAAATCATTTAAATGATCGCTCGGTCCTATTCCGGACAACATCAAAATCTGCGGCGAACCGATCACGCCAGCCGAGAGGATCACTTCTTTCGTTGCAGCGCTAAAGAAACGCTTTCCATTTTTCACAAACTCCAATCCGTACACCGTTTTAGTAGAGTTGTCGACGTATAGCTTAGTGACGAAACTACGCAAACTGACCGCTAGGTTGGTTCGCTCCAGTACAGGATCTAGGAAAGCTCTAGCAGTGCTCGCTCTCTGGTTATTGTTTAGGGTGTACTGTACTTTCGAGACTCCAAGCTGTTGTTTTCCATTGTAGTCGACTTTTTCCACTCCAAGTTCTGCGAACGCTTCGAAGAATACTTCGTCCTGAAATCGTTTTCCAAAATATCACTTCCAGTAAAGTATTTTTAAAACTCACTAATCCAGGCGTCTCGCCAGTAACATTGACGACCAAGGGACCTTCGCGGCCATGGTAATCCTCATCATCGACTTCAAACGCAACGTTTTCAGACTTTTTAAAGTAGGGCAGTACTTCTTCGTAAGACCATCCCGGATTTCCCAATTCCGCCCATTGGTCGAAATTTAACGGGTTACCCCTAGTATAAAACAATCCATTAATGGAGCTTGATCCACCGATCACCTTTCCTGCGTGATGCGTGCAGCGATTGCCAGTTCCAAATCCTAGAGCGACGTTATCTCTAATTCAAAACATTAGTCGAAATGCTGGTCTTACCTTGGCATAGGTTGTCCTGTGGAGTACTTAAATGTGCCCAGTTCATGTCAGAGTTAAATAAATAACTCGCCATTGATGGAATTACGTTAAAGTCATTATCATCACCTCCGGCTTCCAATAATAGAACGTTCCATTCGTTAATCTCTGTAAGGCGACTTGCTAAAACTGCCCCAGCCGAACCACCTCCAACTATGATGAAGTCGTAAGTTCCATAATCTAGAATAAGTTTCTAAAGAGTGTCTCAATGTAAGTCTTGTTGTCTTTAAGTTGCATATACATATAAATATTGTTATCGGGTAGACCCACCCATCGATGGTATTCATAGGTAAGTAATAATAATAATAATAATAATAATAATAATAATAATAATAATAATAATAATAATAATAATAATAATAATAATAATAATAATAATAATATTAATAATAATAATATTAATAATAATAATATTAATAATAATAATAATATTAAAACAAACCTAACCAAAGCAAAGAAAAAAAAATACAAAACTCAAAACCAAAAAAAAAATCTATCTTTTAATGGCAGTGCTGGCGTTATCGATATTACAACAAATACAATGAAACATATACATTGATTTAAAGAGTGAACTTTTAACCAAAAATTGGGAGTTGGTAGATGAAATATTGGAGATGTTTTGACTGTCCGGTTTGTGATAACAAATCTGCATCTTAAATAAACCTACATCTACATAATTGAAATAAAAATTTAACTGCTTCGCTACGATTAAAGCCGATATATGAAAATGCTTCAATAGAACATTATGATCAAACTATCTCTGTTGAAATATACAACTTAAAACCCAAAATTTTTCAAAAATGATATGTTTATAACTAAATAATATATTTATTAGAAATAGGCTGTCATATGACCCCAAATTCAGCTTGGTAAGGCACAAGACAAGCACCAAAGGCCCAGATTTACCGTGCGTTATGAAAAAACTTACCAATTTTTTTGTTATATCGTATTGAAATCACTTGTCGCTAGAAGCACAAGAAACTATGAAAAATGCATATGAATGTTTAATAAATATAGAGGTTTTATTAAATAAGAATCTTTAAAAGAAATATATGTATAATGGTGATTTTCAAGCTCGCTGTAGGGGCAACAGGGAACAAGATATGAAATGATACTCTAAAAATGAAGCCAGAAGATGTTGAAATTGATATATAGTCTGTACGATTTGCAATGGCAGTCTTTCATAAAACCAAGAGAGTCGCTTTTTTGAAAAACTGCTGGCGAAACTCGTCCTTAATTATTACGGATACTGCATGATATCATTTTAGAAAATTGGAATAGTTGTATAACATATATAGTTAAAACAAAAAAAGATTACACTTGATATAACTCGTTATTAATGTAAACGAAGGATCCTTTTCTGGTAGTAGCAGTTCCGATTTAGACTCCGATGATGAAGATGTTTCATCGTCAATACAAACTAAATATATGACAAATTATGCTCATATATTTTTTATTTTCCGATTTTTTGGTATTGGTATTGGTATTGCTATTGATGGAGTTTTCGGACAATAGATTATTTAATAAATTATAATTTTTCCATGCAGATTCACTATTTAAATATTCACATATATCTCCAACTGTGGGCGTACAAATTAAATTAATAAATTCCAAATACAACTGATTCTGTCTCTCTTACTCCCAAGCAATATAATCGAGATCGTTAGTAACGGCTGTCTTGCATTGATCAGATAAACATTTCGGGTAGAATAACATCTCTTGAAGCATAAGTAGAAGTAAGATGAACAATCTATTCTATTCCGTCTGGCATTGTATTGCCGACTATCATAAATCGTCCCGTTTATAATAATCAGCCGTACCACCCCTCCGTGGAATATTTTATAAAATGGAATTTAAATACCTCAAAATAATATATCATATATCATATAGTACCTTAAGGAATCACACTGACTGTGCACTTATAATTACCTTCATGAAATTAAAAAGTATTGATTCGAAAAGAGTTTTATAATTTAGCACCCTCAAGCAAGCACTCAGCAAGGACGAGTCGGTTCCAGTAAAAACTGTCAAACAAATCGCCATAATTTGTTTGAAACTGCTTGTTGTTCCTTCGAGTATTGTTATATTAATAGTCATGTATTAATAGTCAATAGCACTAGAATGAAAAAACCTCGACACAAGACATATACAAATAATAGTAAAACTATATTTAAACCAAAGTGCGTCGATTCACGTCCAATCTGAAATGACGAAAGCAGTGGAAATCAAGCGAGGAGTTAGACAAGGGTGTGTTCTTTCACCACTCCTCTTCAACGTCTACTCAACAACTCAACAATCTGCGTTACGCGGATGATACAGTACTTCTCGCCGAAAACATGCAAGACTGCAGAATATGTTAAATAATGTCGTCAAAACTAGTCGAGAATATAATAATATATAATAATAATTTTTTCTGTATCAATTCCCGAATTATTATTCATAATTTTGGTTGGGTTTAAATACCATATACACAGGTTACACACTTAACAGGTGAGGTAAGTGACAAGTTTATCTCAGATTTCGTAACAACACTCAAGGAAATATTTTGCCATTGAAAATATATTTTTTAAAAACTGATTGGGGCAATTTTCAAAGCAGATATCGATTTATTAAAAAATTGTTATTGGTGGTATGGAATATGTCAAGGGAATCGTCTAGCTAGTAGTCTTTTTGATAATTTCACTGAACAGCAAAAAATATATCTTCTTTCGCGCTCATTACAATAAATTCCAAAACCAAAAATTAAAATGAATTAATCATACTGTGTACAGTATGTATTCGGTATACGAGTAATATTGAATGTCTCTTGCCCTATTCATATTTTTAACCGTCTTCTATATCAAATAACATGATTCATCTAGAAACAAAACATTATAGTTCTTTTATAGAGCCACATAGTGGAAAATCGAAAGGACATAAAGCGAGCAATCTGGATGGCCTGTTCATTAACTCTTTTAAAGTAACAATAGCAAGAAAGCCAATGAAAATGGACATGGAAATGCATATAAAAATTAATAGTACAGAACTTTTGCATCACTGAAATCATTGGTTGATAAATTCTGGGCACCCATTGGAATTAAGTATCGGGAGACCTGAAGAAATCTATTGTCGAGTTCTCTCAGAAATTCATAAATGAAAGAAATATTATTCAAGGTATTCGAACGAAGTGTGAGATATTTATTTAATGCGATCTATTTCTCGGTAAAATAAATTCTTACTGAAATATAAAAGATGCCTTCCAGTACCCTGGATACATAAGAATATAAAATGGAGATACAATTATTAGTAATTCTTGTGGTTATTTATTGAGGATGATGTGAACTATATCTTTGAACTTCTTATTTGCTCGGGATAGTTTGTTGAATAATTTGGCTATTTGTAATTTTAAGAAATGAAAAAATAGTAAAATTGTTACTTACCGTGGATTACCGTATCGGTGACATTAAGTAATTCGCTATTGTCCCTCGGCACGGTATAATTCTGCGAAGAGGTAATATTATCCACAACCATCTCGTAATAATCATCAAAGCTGGCATAGCCGCCGAAGTCTGCGGCTACCAGCCGCATTAAGTACACCAAAAATCCTAACCTGGAGATCATGCTAACCTGGTGGTTTTGTCGATATTCTAAACACCTAAGTACTCAAAAATGCCTTTAAATAAAAATATTTAATTTTTATCTCACGAACCTAATTTTATCACGATTTTATTTATTTATCTACTCGAGAATTTTAGCTCTTAGCAGGATTCATTTTTTTGATGTATTCGGAGTGATATCACTGTTATGAGGCAGCCATTAAAAGAAAAAGCTACCACTTGGAGTTTGAGGGCCTAACTTTACTAACCAAGTTCTTATGGCAAGCCCAGTATAACACATTTGGTCAACTTAAAGTACGGGTTAGGTCGAAAATACTATTAAAATAGTATAGAATTTCTTTTTTTTATCTGTAACCTAAATCCTCTTTAAATTGACGAAATCTGTATGGTACAAAAGCAAGCTCATGAAAGCTTTTAGAACTTTGGTACTGAAGCAATTTAACAAAGTAAAAATACACAATTAACGCAATTTTAATAATTTTAACAGGTATGGTGTCATTATCGGACCAGCTCGTTGAAATGTTACGGATCAGATTGACAACTTGCTTGATACTATTTGACTTTTTCAAAAAAACCTTTTTCAGACTACTGTGATACTTTTTATGCCATCTTTTCAATGCCTCTTCCTTTTTCCCGCTCGCCGTCATACTTTGAACATGTCCATACCACCTTAGCTGGTTTGTTCTTATTTCGTCTGTTATTGTGTGGCTCACTCTCATGATTGCGTGAATCGTTTCGTTTAGGGTGTTTTCGAATCTCGATCTCCCTGCCGCTCTCCTCCAGAAATCCGTCTCTATTGACTATAGTGTTCTCATGGTCTTTCCTTTGAATTGCCAAACTTCACAATTATATGTGACTATGCTTTTTACAATGGATATATATATAACAAATGCTTGTTGCATCTTGTGATTTTTTGGTCCCACAGAATGCTATTTAGCATAGTAATAGCTCTTCTGCCTTGAGTATTCCGGTCTCTGATTGCTCAGTCTAGGGTTCCACCGTCTGAAATATTCATTCCCAGGTATTTGTAGCTTTCGTTCTAGGTCCCATTTCTTGTACTCTTCAATTAGCTTTCGAATCAAGTATTGTACACCGTCGTTGTCTTGGGTCATTATAATCTGATCGCCTGCGAAATTCAGGGTATATAGGTTTGTGTTTGCGTGGCGTTCTTCCATATTTTTAGTGCCTGTTCGAGATATATATACAAAGTGCGTGACAAGCAGCATCCTTGTTTACGTCCCCTATTCCGTGCGAATCCGTTGGACGTTTTATTTTTGACTTTGACTTTAATCTAAGAGTTCTTGCGCAGATTTTATTAGGTTGGCGTTTAGATTTGTTCGATTTAGTGCCTGCCATAGTTTTTATAAAGCTATGCTATCGTACGCTTTCTTTAAATCCGCAACCAGGAGATGTATTTCCCGACATTTCGCGCTAAATGAGAACTGTGTTAACTGCCCTAAACTTGGAGATACCAACTTTAAATTTAGCAGAGAAGTATAAGTCCGTGTCCACATTTAAACGGTAGAGATTGGGCGCAATCAAGTTTTACCAAGTAATTTTAGCTTCCAAATATGTTTTCCTCCATAACCGTGCATCCGATTGGCAAAATTCTTTAACCGACAGACGCAGAGGGTCCAGTGCAATAACATTTATTTCGGGCATTTTTTCGATTTTATGCAGGGTTTTCAAATTATAGGCAAAAATCTAAAAGACTTAGAAAATTGTTCTTTTACATAGTAAATTACTAGCAGCAAATCAAAAATCGTAAAAAATATGGCTAATTGGTTCAAACGGTGTCATAGGCCGCATCAAGAGCTACAATTTTTGTATTTGCGGTTCTCGTCTATCACATACGCTGCTCGGGATATTTGAAAAAAACCATATTGAAATCGTTTTTTCGGGGGCTGTCAAGACGCGATGACGTCATTGATTATTACGGCGCGCTGCATGGTTTCAGAAAAAACTTATTTTCTCGAAAACCTTGTACTATTTTCAAAAAATTCTTGAACCAGGAAACGTGGAAAATCCAGGGCTCTAACTCTATTTCGAACAATGATTGAATCATATACAGGGTATTGGGTTTATGGGCAAAAAATCTAAAAATCCTAAAAATTTCCGTTTTTTTGAGTAAATTATTGGCGATAAATGAAAAACCGTTAAAGATGGGATATTTCTATTTGAACAGTATCGTAAACCGTATCGTGAGAGAGTTTCAGGTTTCATCGCGAGATATAAAAATATCATTCGACAAAATTTAAAATTTATCCATGTCAGCAGAAGCACGATAGAAAAACAATACGTCCCTTTACCACACGAAACCGCTAAGTTCTTCGCTTTTATGACGATTTTTCGAAAGCAACCTTGTTCTTCTGCTTCGCTGTCTGTTTCTTTGAAAAAATAATTTGCCCATACTTTTGATTTTGAACAGATCGTCCTAAATCCCACAAGATGCTCAAAAGATTATTCCAGCTTGATTGACATTATCATTTTGTCTAATATTGGTAGTAGATGTATAGTGCCGATATAAGCAACAGAAACCGTACATAACCTCAATTTCCTAACCCCCCCGCAGCGGGGGCCCCCCGCGCGTGGCGTCCTAGTGTCCCCCCTGTCTACCAGAGTGCGCTCCGCCCCCCACCCAGCTTGTGTAGCGTCCTGTTTTGCCCCGGTTCCGCCCGTCGCTGCTAGATGTCGCGCGCTTGTGTAGCGTCCTGTTTTGCCCCGGTTCCGCCCGTCGCTGCTAGATGTCGCGCGCTCCGACCGTCGTAGGCCCCCCCGGTAGAGGGCGGTGACGGTGCGGCACGGCGACGGTGTCGCGCGGTGACGCGGGTGATCGGGTCGTCGGTAAACAAGTCGAGTGACTTATACAGAGTGTCTCAATAATCACGGTTTAATAAAAGAAAAACTATAGATACAATAGTAAATATTTATTAGCTCATATGTAGACAACGTAATGCTTCGTACAAGCGGTGTTTCTGGTCCATGAGATTTTCTACTTCATCGCGGTCGAGGATAATTTCGTCGCCATGATCCCGTTTCAGTATCAACTCACAGCTCTCTTCTTCGTTCGAATAGGTCACCTCGATACTGCTCCCGATGTAGACTGTTATGTCGTTCCAGAACATGATTTCTCCCACCTCGTCCTCCAGAAAGAACAAAAAATCCCAAAAATCCTGGACTTGAAAATCTATGTGCTTGTTCTTGAAGATGAAACGGACACCTGAATTCTTTATTTCGAAAATCGTGTTTTCATCGATAGTGACCACTTTGTTACACATTGTGACAAACAGACTGACTTCGGTATCAAATTCAAATGTACTTATATATCAACAACCCCCCACTATCGGTGTAATTAAGAGAGATATTTACATTTAGTCAATTTGAATAAGCATTTTGCCAAAAGAAGCAAACAAGCGCACGTAGTTACATATAGCGGGATTAAAATAGTTTTTCGATCTGCCGAGATGTTGTATTCGTTACCGCAATTGTCGTTAACGCCGCCGCTGGTGTTATTGGAATTCTTGATAGCGATCGTTTGCCATTCGCCGTGGTCTTCGTAGCTCCGGTTCGCGAAAACGAAACGTACCTTGTAATTTAAATACGGCTTATCTGCGGTAGTGTTATTCGACAATGTCACGCTAAAAGTTTGTAGCTTGTCGATTCCGTTGACCTGAGCGAGTTGCATACGCGTCCACGTATCGGGCCAAATGCACCGATTATTATGATTTTTGAAACAAACGAACGCTTCAATCACATCCTTAGGTTTATGTATATAGAAAACGTTTTGTACCACAGCCGACAACAAAACAAAGTGAGCACTTAACAAAACCATGTTTCTAGCCCGAATGAATCTATCCTAGATCTCGGTAACTGCTTTTATAACACTCAAACAATAATGACATTTATTCTGGGGAGGTGCCGGGCCGTCGATATGCATTTTGCTGTCCGGTCTGTTATAGTGAACAAAGCAGGGCAAATGAGTTTGCAATTCAAAATTGTTGCGATGTCGTACTGGTAACTTATGCCACATATTTAACAAATCGTGCGGTCTCACATGCTCCAAGAAATGTTGCACAGGAATCAATTCAAGTTGATCGGTATCCAAGCTTCTAAAATCGTCGAAGAAAACTAACTTCTTATTCATTGTTGTGAAAGATCGATAACTTTCTTAACAAATCCCTAATTTGTTTAAAGACACTCTCTGTGGGACAATTAATTGCGACAAGACTCAAGTCTATTTCACCGACTCTCGTTAATTTATTCAAAAATTCGTTGTATTCGTAATACGTTTTCTCTTTGAAAAAATACAAATGTCCGTTGGTGTATCGAAACGCGCCCGACAAATCGTCGGGCAGACCCGGAAACAGTTCCGTAGTAAAACCGTGTTCACTCGCACTCAAAGAACACTCGTCTATTTCTGCATAGTAGCGTTTACCGTAAAATATATACGTTCGACCGCCATACGTATTAAAAATAGCGTTCACTGTTTTACCCGCAGGCACACCCAGTCGCTGGACGCTTTGTCGGTCGCCCACTACCGTGAAACTCGGGAAGTGAAGTAAATAAAACGAATCACCGGTGACTACCAAAAGTTGTCCGTTGGGTCTCTGGTAGATATGCGAAATAGGAGCGTAAATAGGGACATAATCTGATATCATTTTAGGTTCCATGTAGACTTTATCACCTAATCTTATTATCCAAACCCATTTGTCGTAAAATAGATACATATGATGGTTAGACGTAACCAAAAATATGGATGGATTTACGTGACACAAATCTGGTACTTTTGTTTCGTTTTTCCCTATCGGAGGTTTCGTAGTTGTGGTAGTAGTGGTAGTTGATGTTGTTGTGGTCGGAGTTGTTACGCGGGCGGTGGTTGTGGTTTTTTTACCATATAAACGTTGAAGACCTGCAACATCGTCGTATGACAATGTCTTAGAATTTAAGCTATACCAAGGGTACATAATGGCATTGCGATCGTTACTGTGCGCCAAACCCAACGTA